AGCAATACACAAAAACAAGCAAACACTCACAAAAACACACAAGACACAAGCCCGAAAACACAATGCGAGTGAGAGAACTAGTCCTGTGTGCTTGTGTTTGTGAGAAGCAGAGGGCTTAGCACGCGCTGAATTTTGATTTCACACTTTTGCACTGCAATCAAAAGGAATTAGCTCGCCCCGAGCTGCGGCCACACCTCCTATATACCAGGGGGTGTGGCTGGGGAGGAGGACTTTCAGTTGCATGCCATGAACGAGGTACCACGCCTACTGCCTTTGCAGCTGCCACTGCCACTGCCACTGCTGCTGCTGCTGTTGACTGTTATTAGCGCACTTTGATTTGTATTTGGCTAACAATAAAATGACAGCTTTCGGTTAAATGGCACGCAACGCCCAAGCCAGACGCGGGCCATGGCCTGGGTGTATTTTTGGACAGGTCCTGCTGCTGGACATGACCTGTCCGGAAATGCCAGTGGAGTTGGCGTGCGAGTTCTGCTTTTCATTTCGATTGCTGGCCTGGCAAGGAAGGGCTGAGCAGGGCAGAGCAGGGCAGGGCTGGTTAGAAGTCAGGACTGTGGCACGCCATAAATTCCAATAAACGAGTGCAGCCCTGCTCTGGTGCTGGTCCGCTGCAGTCGCGTAGAAATATTATAGCCGCTAATTAACGCCCGACCCAACGCAGAAACGGTAGAAACAGAAGGACAGACACTGTGAACGAACGACAGGGAGGACTGGAGTGGCGCTTTGAAGAATTTCATTTCATTTAGCTCCAATTGTTAATTAACAGATAGACACATACGCAGACTACATACGATATGTAGTGTGAAAAAGTGCTCATTTCGATTCAGTTTATTTGCAGAGCCAACGGTATTCAGAAAGAGATAAACGACCAGAGGCACTTGATAGGAAAAGAGTTCGTAATAATGAGGGAAGCCGGCTATAGTCGATGCCAAAATAAACGTGCCGCCACAAGGTAGCCGGAAAATGCATTTACACATACACACACACGCACCTTTCTCTCTCTCTAGCGGCACTTCCATTCTAACTGATAAGATTACAAAAAACTCTACAGAACTCGTATGCGTATACGCAATGTATAAGAGAAGGCGTATAAGAGAGAGCAAGACCGAAGGGAAAGGCGAGGCATGGCTTGAGAAATGGCGAATAATTTTCACTTTCTAAGGTAAACAGATCCACAGGAAAGGAATAAGGCTGAAGAGGAAAAGAACCTAGGTGTGTAGAGTTTTCCGAGCAGAGAAGCGAAGCAGGAACCCGCCTGAAAACGACACCGAAACGAAGGGAAAACCAGAATGGTTACAAGCACGCCACGGCACCGGGAAAAGGTTAAGCCAGAAAGGTGCGAAAAAGGCGTGGTGGTTAAAGGTGGCCGCGACATGCAAGGGAGCAGTGCTCCAATCAGATAAGTTCCACGACCAGTCACTACCCGCCATGAGATCATGCTCCGCCTGCCAAAGGGTTCTATGATCATGCTGGTAACTCCTCGACTCGCTTGTACTCCCTGGGCGCCTACAAACTTCCTCTTTTACTTCTGTAAATCCATGTACGTACTCGGCTCTAATCTCTATGCGCTTTTGGCTGGCTTTTGTTGAATCCACATGGCTCCAGAGGCACCAGAGTGCAACTGGAGCAAATTTCAGATCCCGACTCGCTCTGGGACCCGCATCCACCTCCTCCGGGCGCCATATGCAAATCAAACGAATGCAGATGTTGCTGTTTGGGCCGCTGCTGATGACGATGGTACATTAAATTTCAATTTCATGTTCATTTATCGTGACTGTGTGCGGCTGGCACGGCGGCAAGGAAGTCACAATGTCAGTGTCTGAACTTACCCAAGGCCGTGCGCCTGGTGAAAACTTTTCCCTTCGACTGTGCGAAAACTTGGCCGAGTCCTAGCCTCGTTTACGCAAGTGTTTTTCCCTTTTTCCCTCTGTCTGCTAGGCTCCCGCTGTCCCGCTGTCCTGCTGTCTCTGCGACCCGCCACCGAGTAAAGTGTGCAGAAACCAACAAGAGCAATAACTGCACTACACAAACACACTCGCACAGAGCCAGTCTCGTATACACTCTCTCGCGCACACAGCTACATGTGCATAAAAATTAAGCAAACGGCACTTGTAACTTGCAACAACAGCAGCAACAACAACTACACGACAAGTGCTTCCTAGCTCCGAGCCTCGCAGCGCCGAAAATGCAACAGGACGGGGGGTGGCAACTTCCGCTGAGCGTTGAGCGTCACGCCGGCTGCACATCCCACAAAAACTGAGCGAAGACCTCACCCTTCGTCGTGGCCATTGCCGAACAACGCCTGGACACCCTTCGAGCCGCTGCAACGGGAAACTTTTGCAGCAAGTTGGAGATGGTTTTTTCGCTCTTAGCCGTGGGCTGGCCCTCGGCTCATCTGTGCTGTTGCACCAACTTTGGGAGATGAAACTTTAAGCCCGGTCGTATCTGTTCTCGAACGTTGTCGCCGTCGCCGTCGCCGTCGCTTCGTACGTGTTTGTGTTCATTACGTACGTGTACGTGTCCTTTTTGGCATTTTGCGCTAGTTGTCAGCGCCAAAAGCTGCTGGCCAAAAGAACAAGCTGCACAGACACGATAGCAGACTTGAAACAAACTTGGTTCAAATCTCCCCTAGCGATATCAGCACAAAAGTGTACAGTTTGTTGCGGGATACAATCTCGGAGCCGGCTCTCGAGGTGCAGTTGCTCAGCGGCAACTGGCTTTCATTGGCTGAGACCATAGACTGCACTTTGGCCCCGTCAGAACTTTAAATTCATTGTGCTCTCAGCTTACATAATAATTTAAATTATTTTGTAATTAGTTCAGACGGGCATCAATTTGCTGTGCCGGTTTACAAGCATCCCCTGCCCTTCAATGCCCCTCCACACTTTTGCTGGGTCCGCTCTGTTGGACCTGTCATTTCTCATGGAGGAGAAGTCACCACAATGCGCCAGCAGACTGAAAGGCAACGAAAAGTGCACTTGGCCGCAATTTGCAAAAAGTCTTTACAAAGTCGAACTTCCGTGAGTGGAGTGTCCAGTGTCCTGTCTCCTTTTGTGCTCGGACCTGTCCATTGAATGGCCAGGGGAGAGTGGTTTAAACAACTTCGCAATGAGTTTGTTGCCGCCATCGCATCGTCCTGCCAGAGCCATAAATATTTAAGTTACTTGTTTGCTTTTCCAACTCTATTTGAGTTTTTTTCCCTGCCTCATTTTCATTTCTTTGGTTCCAGTAACGCGTTTTTACGAGTTGCCTTGCGTGAAGTCGTTTAATGAACAGAGCACTGCTTCAACTGGTTTATAAGTACCTTAAGAGCTGGAGAGTTGGAGAGCTGGACAATGGCCAACAGAGCTGCGTGTGTGCTCCTTCGATGTTAGTCAACACTCATGCCTTAAGCCCTTAATCATTTCAAGCAATTTGCACACATCCAAAGCAATTCAATTAAAAGTTACCCCCGAACACACATAGAGAGATTTACGAGTAGATGCTGGGGCAGCAGCTGATAGATGCTTGGCCACACTCATTTCAGTTTTAATACTTTTAATACCTTTTGAATTGCTTGCCCAAAAGTTCGTTTCGTGTGGCTGAAGAAGCCTTCAAAAATTGATGCCCAAGCAAACAAACCAGGATTTGATACTCCAACTGATGCTGGATCCTGCTCCTGCCTTTCTGCCTTCCTGCCTTCCTGCCTGCCCGCCTGTTCCACTCATGGTCTCCTTCTCCGATGCTACCTCTGGCAGGGTACCAAGCCATCGTGGTGGAGTGCCACTTGATATTTATTCGATTTATGGAATTTTTGCCTAAGAATTTTTTAATAAAACGAATTTTATTGGCATTATCCTGCAGCTATTGCCTTTGCTGTGCTAGAGAGGAAATTAATAATGCTACTAGGCTAATAAAGGGACGCACACATGTGCATATATGTTCGTATATGTATGTATGGATATTGGGTTATCAATGATGTGACACATTTGCGATACTCCCTCCGGATGACTCGACGACTTTTGCTTCATTTAAAAACCGAGTGGTTTAATATTGCTCTTTACATACCCTGACTGCTCAAGAGGTCTATGTATTTAATTTGCCCATATCCCAAAAACTTTTCTACTCAAATTTGTGTCGTTTTTAGTGGAGCCGTATAATGTTATTCCTGTGAATGCTTTTCGTATGTGGAAGCCCCTGGGCCAACAGGAAATTAAAAGTGTTGGCAAATAATGTGCGTTTTTATAAGCCAGAAAGCAGAAAAATGACAAAGGAAAGACTTACTGAGGCCAGGGCTTTGTATCAGCTGAAAGCGTTCCCATTTGACCCAAATTCCTGGTGGCCAATGTAATTAGCTGTTTATGGAGTCAGCCAGTTTTGAGACACTTAGCTGCAGCCTCAGAGAATGCACATAAGAATGGGTCTGATGGTCTCCTTCCAGAGAAGGGTGAAAATTTAATAGTATCAGAGTTTTGCCTGAAGTATCGATTTTTGTTGTTATTTCCGCTCTCTCACTGTGGGAGAGTGCGCCAGCCCATTCAGGACCATTTGTCGGCTTTTGCCTGTTCCGGTGTTGATAATGCCAATGCGTAATCCATCTACAGCCCCAATCCCAGTCCCAGCCCCAGTCCCAGCCCCAGCCCCAGCCCACTATACCACCCACAACCACTCGACCTATCCGCATAGGCAGTATGTTGTCGTATGAGGCTCTCTGTGTGTGCACTTGAACTTTGACATTTCAATGCGCGGGCAGTTTGCTAAGCTACAATACATACAAAACAGACGCCAGTGCGTGCGGCCTGCTTTGGCCTGAAAACTTTGTCAATTTCGACGTGAGAGGAAACATTCAAACTGTCCAATGCACAGGAGAGACCGACCACGAAACACCCATTTCTCCCATACCACCCCACCGGCATCTGAAAGTAATATGAATATGTAATATATCGAGGGCAGGTCAACCGCTTTGGATAAAACACAATTTTAATAATTTTGACATCAAATACACATCGAGAAGTTGCATAAATACACCCACAAATATATATAAACACATATGTATATTGCACTTTGAAGAATATTATGTTTCAACTGAAGCATTGACTTAATGGCTACTTCGTACAGATGCGCACACACATACATATATAGTATTCTAAGTTTCTGTTGTTACTTTTGTTGTTGCCGGGTGGTTTCTGGTTGACTATCTGCTAAAACTGTAAGTCCATTTATTAACAAGAAAACTTTTCAAAAATTTACCATAAATATACCACTATATACTCGTATATGAGCACACATAATTACATACATATGTATGCATATGAATATATCTCATATTCGACTGGGGGATGTGTATGCATGGTATGCCTGCGTTTGAGTATAGCTCATATATCATGATCCAACCAGAACTGCTTTGGTTTTCAACTTTACTGTTCTGCGGTTTCGGTTAACAATTAGAAGTGCTGTGTGTGCTGCGGGGCACATGGGGCTTCTGGGGAAAGTTTCAGCGTTCACTTTTGCACTTCAGTTCATTTTCCTGGATTATAAGCCGTGCTAGATGCGTTTTTTGAGTGTTATGTGAATTGGGTTTTATCTTGTTATATGTACATGCAATGCAATGTTGTTGATGTGTGGCGGAGATCCTCTAGAGTAATTTGTGTTTGCCGTGTAAATTCGTTAAAATTTGATATTGACTTGTATACACACATGATACATACACTTAGACTTATAGCTATTCTGATGGAAATAATTGAGCATTATGCTTAAACTAGAGCGAAACACATTCAACTAACACAGAAATACGAATTCCTTGGACCCAGCCTTGTTTACCACTTACCCCGATATCATTATCATTCCCAACCTGGTTACTTAGGGCGCTAATATTTAAACTTTACTTCACTTGGGTTTCTTTAAGACACAGGGAAGACTAGAAGTATCTATCATATGCATATGCATATGCATATGCATTTACATAATTTACATTTACTGAGTATCTATCATCTACAATAATGCCATATGTATATCCGCTAAGAAGCATTGACTTAAGACTACAATTTCGTTTTGCATCGGATTGCTGATTCTTGTCTTTGGGACACATGGGTGTGTGTGTGTGTGTGTGGGTTGTTTATAACTAGTTTAGATTGTCGCTGCTAAAACATATTCCATCTACATGCTACATAGATGGGCCAATTCCATAGCATGTCGATACTGACCTCTCCTCCTGCGAGCACGAGTACGGCTCTGCCAGACTTTTGTTTTTGAGGTTTCACCTTAACTATAGATACTGGTCCTCGTTGGCCTTCAGTTGAAATCAAATTTTCGCACTGCGAGCCCGCGCCGCATTGCCGCGGCCAAAGAGAATCCGCTTGAAGGCTCTTCGAAATTCCGGATTGAACACGGTATAAATGACCTTTGAAAAGATACGAATAACATATAGAGAAAGAGATGCAGTAGTACCGAGGGCTATTGTTACGTCCTTTGGGAAGAAAGAAAGAAAAGTTGTTCCGTTCGGTGCTCTCGCATGGATTTACATACCGGATTCAGGGTGGAGTTGAAGTAGCCCAGCCAGAGGAATAGCGAGGCAATGGCCGGATGGATGTCGCATTCCTTGCACAGGCTCATTGTCAGGGCCATCACGAAGAAGGGCAGCCAGCAGATGACAAAGGCGCCTGTGATGATGGCCAGTGTCTGGGCGGCCTTGCGCTCTCGCTTTGCCTCCAGCAGCTGCCGGCGCTTGGCCAGCTTCTGGTGTGGATTGGCAATGCTGGATAGCACAGTCCCCATGCCAATGCCCACGGCCTTGCCGGGGCTGCTGCCTCCGTCCACTGCTTCTGCGCCCTCCTCCGTCCGAATGCCAGCCGTGGATGTGGTAAGGTGGGTGGCGCCCATTGCAATGGACTGGGCCAGCGGCGTTATGGCATTCAGATGGGAGGCTATCTGATGATGCTGCGCGGCATTGGCCACCTGCTGCGATAGCGTGATGATTTCATTAGCGTTGCTGGTGCGGTACTGCGAGGAAAAGGGCAAAGGCAAAGGCCCCATTAGGTGGAACAAAGAGGTGTGCAAACAATTAGCGCCTTCGGTGGGTTTCTCATCCGCCACGCGAGTTTAATCGCACTTACATCGTCCGCGTCACTGGAGACTGTCGTCAGCTCGGTGCCCGCGTGGCTCTTGTTGTCGTAGTTGCTGGTGCTGAACTCCGTCTCCTCCCGCGTGATCGCCAGGCTGGCAAAATCCACGGCTATGGCGGCCATGGATCGAGCAACGGCTCCCTCCGAGCCGGCACAGATGCCGGCCGTGTTCGTGTTGCGGCCAAAGCAGATCCGCATTCGCTTACGCGTCCGATGTTGCACCTGCGGCTCGGTTACGCCAGCGGATATCTCGTCACCAGCCTCTTGCCGCTTCCGCTCTGCCACGCGCCGCTTGCCCCGCTCCTTCTTCAACTCACGCACTGTCGAGTCGCACTGGGGAAAGGAAATGAGGCGAAGAGGTGGGAGAAGCTGGTACTCGACTTATTTATGGCTTGTTTGTTTATGGACTCGATGAAAAGTGCTTTGGCAAATTATTGGCAGAACATTGAGCAGCATTTGGCTCGTGTCTTGTCAACGAAATATAATCAAATCAACTTTCTCTGGAACTGTAATTATTTCAGCTAGCACTCCCCATATGCCACGCATTTTCCACTCCCCTGGACACGGGCACGGGCACGGACACAGGCATGGCCACATTGGACTGATCATAAATCTCGGTTGGCATTTGTTTGGCTTTTGGCTCTTGGGGCTCGCATCGAGTGCTCACTTGGGCATTCTAATGAGCAGCCGAGGACTCCACTTCTGTCAGGCCCACGCCCACGCCCACGCCCATGCCCATTCACATTCGCATTATTGTTTCTGCTAATGACATACTCATTATGGCAGGCAAGCAAATACACTTCTGAAGCAGCAGCAGCATCAACATCCACTCGGCCAGCCTCCCTCCAATAAAGGGGGACTGAATAGAATAGCATCATATGTAGGACGGGCGTATGCGTAATTTTTCGACTATTTCTTGCCACGAGGCTGGCCAAGTGGACACTTGAAATTTATCACTGGGATTAGAAGTAGGGAATAGATGGAGGTGGAGGTGGAGGTGGAGGGGAAGGGGAAGGGGAAATTTCGATTGCACTTACATCTGTTTCCGTCAACGTCACATTGAAGGACTTTTGTGTGCGTCGTTGTATGCGCTTCCTGGCAATTATGTAGATTTTCCAATACAGAAATAGAATCACCAGCAGAGGCACATAGAAGGTGCAACAGGTTGCAAATATCTATGGGTTATAAGAGAAAAAGCAACAGAGATGGAGAGCGACAGAGAGAAAGAGAGAACGATAGAGAGAGAGGAAGTCATTGACCATGGCTGGATATTACTGCCATCAATATCTCTTACCTGATAGGCCACATCCTGCGACACCATGCAGTGCTGTTCCTCAATGCGCTTCAGATAATCCGGATCTTTCCAGCCAAACTGCGGTGCCAGGGACACAATCAGGGCGGCAAACCAGACGCAGAATATCATCATAAAGACGCGCCGCGGGGTCCGCAGATTGTTGTAGTCAATGTTGGTCACCGTCCAATATCTTCGAGGGAAAAAAGCGAAATTGCTTCCGTCACTCCGGGAAAGGCGACTCTGACACTCACCTGTCCGCCGCAATGGCCACCAGATGCAATATGGATGCTGTGCAGCAAAGGACGTCACAAGCCGTCCAAATGTCACAAAGTTCCGGTCCCAATATCCAGCCATTGCTTATCTAAAGAAAAGTAAAAGTACAAGTAGTCGATAGCACATTGTTTGCCAGTGATGATGCAATTGAAACAATTAGCCATGGAGCACTTCAGCAGAGAGCCAACTCTTTGGCGCCTAATTTAATTGGCAATCACTTTCCGCACAGACTTCCAGTAGGGTAGTCAGGTTAGTGAGACAACCACAATGGAACCGATAATGGACACTTACCTCGTAGACGGCGCCGAGCGGCATGACAAGACAGGCCACAAATAAATCAGCGACTGCCAGAGATGCAACCAAGTAATTGGCGACATTCTGCAGGTTTCTCTCCAGTATGATGGCGGCAATAACGAACACATTGCCTGTGGACACAAAAGGAAGACCATTTCAGAATGCAGCTCTCGGAATGAACGCTGATATAAGTTGATCCAGCAAACGATGCATAAATGGGTAGGGGATTAGGAGTAGGATTAGCTCAAGCACAAGCCCCAGTCAGAGTCATTAACTTTTGGGTGCCGATTCGGGGAACAGTAAATCGAGCTCGACAGAATCAATCAGTGGCAGAAGCGTCATCTCAAAGGAGTTTCCAGCTATTTGCCTAATTGCTGGCAATGGTGCATGTGGAAGCAGGCATGCTTCCCCTCGCGCTCTTAGCCTCGGGACTTGTCTCCTAACAGTTCTCCTACTCCTTACTGCTCCTTCTCCTTCTCTGTGGGATGCAAATGAGAGCTGGCTGGCAGCTTGCTCAGAGTCAACGTCGCCATCATCATTGTCGTTGCTGGCTTTGATTAAGCGCATGCAACTTGGCAAAATGTAATTGCCGCTGTGGCACCCTCTCTGCTACACCTCCCCAAAGGCACAAAAGTGACACCACGTCAGTTTCCCCACTACTTTCCCTCCTTTTATGGCTCGGCTGAGACAGCTCGGTCTTGGCTGCAGGTTGTCAAAACGTTTTGTCGTCGCTTGGCCCATGCCAGCAACTGCATTTGCATATGCCTTGCCAAGGATATGTTGCGTTTACGTCGCATCTACCAAATGTAGACAAACTGTTATCTCTGTGTGTGTGTGTGTGTGTGTGTGTGTGTTTTAGGTGCTCCTCCCATCTGTGTGGGGGGTGTACGGAGTATCCGTGTGTTTGTCGTAATTTCCATTTGACGCCTTGGCGCGTTTTTAATAGCTTTTCACGTGCCACAGACATTTCGGAGAACATTGTTTGTGCCAGGCAGCAGCCACCTCAGTTGAGGTCTTAAACGTCTCAGCACAAGGAACTCCTCATATATCATCTGCCACCACCACCAAGCAGCCAGCCAGCCCGCCAGCCACTCCCCTAGTGGAGGCAGCAAATCATCTTTGTAAGCCCCCAAAAAATCAATAAATATCCACCAAGAGGGCGCAATAAAAATCTTCTGCATCATAAATTTCACTTCATTTACAGTTCACTTCGGCGGCGATATGGAAACTTTTGCCTTTCCTTTTCTTATCCCAGCGGCATAAATTTGAGAATAATTTAATGCCTTCCCCCTTGGCACTGTCTGCCCTGCTCGCCATCGTTTGTGTTTGTGTTGGGGGAAGCAAAATTTAAATTTGGATTTGATTTTGATTAAGTACTTGCCTATAATGGTGACGAGTATCATCAGGCCCAGCACGACGGCCATGGCTATCATCTTGACCAGCAGCCAGAACTCGGCCGCCTCACGCTCGCTGACCACCCGCCGCTGCTCGTCCAGACCGAAGATGGGGCTTCCATTTCCGTTTCCGTTTCCGTTTGCACTGCCACTGCTACTGTCATCGCTGCGATTCCAAATGATTTGGCTCAAATTGGTGGTCGTGCCTTCCAACTGGGTTAGATTGCCATTCAGCTCGATGAAGAGGCTCTCGTTGAGCAAAATGGCAGGCAGTTCTATTTCAAAAATGCTCGTGGGGACATCGTCATCCATCGCAGCAGCAGCAGCAGCAGCAGCAGCGGCAGCGGCGAACTCTGCTGACAATGTAGCTGGTGTCGTCATTGCTTTCAGCATTATGTGGATATATCTGTGTATATCTGTGTGGCGGCCTATGTGTGAGTGTGTATCTGTGTGACACTGTTTGGGGCGTGTCAGTGTGTCTAACGCGTTTGTTCCTGATGCTGCCGTCGCAGCTGTTGCTGTTGATTCTGTTGCTGTTTCAGTTGCCGTAGCCTCTGTTGCCGCTGATGTTGCCTCTGCTGATGTTGTGATTGTCGCTCGTGTTGCTGCCGCTGTTGCGGGTGATAAACCGTCTTAATCGTGCTTGCCAAGCACTTAACACGTAAACTGCAAAATACAGGGCGGTTCGAGAGTCAATAGGGGTAGTCAGCGATGAATGGCAGCAGCCCTTCAAAAGCGATGAAAAAACCTAACCAAAAGCAAAATCAAAATGGAGTTTTCATCCGCTTACATGGCCGACGCTTTAGATACCCTTGAAGATACAATTTTCTCAATATATTAATCTAATTTTCATTGGGTTTAGCCTTACAAAATGTGTTTACTTATACGATAACCGTAGAATACTGCAAGGGAAAGCATTTCAGCAAAGATTAAATAATTTAATCCTCAAAACACTGCAATTTCTAGAGGGACAGCACTCACATGTACTTAGTATATGAGCAGCAAATTGAGTTCGCATCATGATTAATTATTTTCGTCTCGTTGCGCCCAGTTTACCTCGAGAGTCCCCCAATTAATTAATCATCGCCATCGGGCAAACTCTTTTACAAATTGTTTTTCGTACCTTTTAACCTTTAAACTCAGATCCCTTTTCAATTGCTATTCGAGGAAACAATCAAAGCTAACAGTTCACTAGTAAAACCTGGTTTCTGTATCTTCTAAAGAAAACTAGATCCCCACCGCAAACGGTTGCAAAATGGTATGCTTCTTTAGAGGGAAAAATGCAATAAAGAAGCGAAAAGCTTGAAAATTTCCATTCTCGTCTAGCAAACACTCACAGAGAATGGGGCTGGTCGGGCGTTGAGGCGTTGGCTCTTGGCCTTTGTGTGCCGTGCCCCCACACACAGACTGCAACACATTAGGTGACCTTTGTCTGTGTCAAGGTGTCCCACGGCGGCTGGAACCCAGGTGAAAACAGTTAACCAGTCTGAAACAGTCCCTCGGGCCAACACCTGCCTGGAGAGCCCGACTCACGGCGAAGGTTGCTTGATAGATAGCCGTCAGAGGGCGAGCCATGGGTGGGGCAACTTTATCTCCAGCGCCGACCCAATTTCCCTTCCGAAACGCTTGGGGAAGCCCTCGTTGCGGTTGTTTTAGCTGTTGCTGGTTTTGGCCCGGAGAACACTGGCAAATATGCTAATAAGAACGTCGAAAGCGGAAAGAGGAAGAGCGAAGCGATGCGATGCAATGCGCTCTAGCAGCTCATGTGTGAGAAATATTTTCATAGTCAAGGTAATCGTCATCCGTCCCGCCCCTTTCCCTGTTCGCCGCCTAGCTCAAGGCATAGTCATAGTCGTAGTCACAGTCCTCGTCGCCTTGCTATTAATAAATGCACTAAAACTGTTCTGGGTTCCTTTCTCTGGCGTTTCGCTTTCCTTTTCGGTTTTTACATTTTCTTCCAGTTGTACCTCGCCCCTCTTGGAGCATACATTCTCGTACATGTGTATATAATCTTGAATGCAGGCTGTCTAGTATAACTGTAGTAGGACTTCCACAGAATATTTGTGTTTGTGGATCCATTAACTAAGAGGTTTCAAATAATTTAAAAAAAACGGGGCTATAAACCAAATCGAATATATCTTAGGTGGTATCTTGCGTTCGTGACTCCAGAAGCTTTTTTACTCTTCTTAATTATGAAAGAAAATTCGAGCTTTAATACATTTTTTTTGTTTTGTTTTGCTTCTATACGGGGTACGGTCGGTAGGGGTTGGGTGTGCCCCATAAGAAAGAGGCAGGGAATATGTGCTAACGTTGGCATCAGAGTTCGCTTTGGGGGATAGCATAGTCGAAACGGAAGGACAGAAAAAATCGCGTCGAGCTGCGGTTTCTTCCTACACGAATCTGAATCAGAATCTGCCCCAAAGGCTCGACTCTTACCCCTTACACAATCTCACAGATGCACACACAAACAGACAAACACACAAACACGCATACACATACTTGAATTAATTCATACTCTAATAAATATACAAAAAGCTCTGTTGAATGTCTGCTGCTGGCACTGGCCTGGCTCCTTTGTTGTTTCCATTCCCATTGCCAATGCTGCTGCTGCTGCTGTTTTCTGCTGTTGCCGTTGTGTCAGCATAATCTTTTGGCAGACATTTCGTTTTGATCATCCTAGTCCATTCCGTTTTCACTTCTCCCACTTTCCAGCATATCTGGATGCTATTCGCCTTGGCCTAGAGTGCAGCGCGCTGCAGCGGTGTAAAGTGCTGAACTGCTGAACTGAAGACTCGTACAATGCTCCAATTAGAAGAAGAGTTCAATGTTCTGCAACATAATTCTTTTACCAGTTGTCAGAGGATACATGTAAGTGGCCTGCAGTTAGCGGGAGAGCCGAAACAATGCCTGCATGGATGGATGGAGTTCATAGACCTATGGGGGCGAAACTTTAGGAAGATGATACCACCCGCCAATCGAACAGCAGTCTGCACTCAAGGCGCAACTTTCCGTAACAATGGAATCTGAAACCTAATGCAGGACTATAATTGCTCTCGATGTTGGGGTCGACATGCCTGTAGGACTGTCATTCATGGAACGAATCAAGCTGTGAGTCACATTTTCAATTCAATTTTCCACCAGACGAGTGCACAATAGGCAGCAGCAGCCAAACAGGCCAGCAAAATGAAACCGGCAACACGATTTACCGAGAACAGAGCCAGAAGTAAGACAGGAAGAGGATGTGGGCTGGGACCAGGACCAAAACGAGTACCAAAAACTATAAGAAGTATTTCTCCAGCAATTCAATGCAACTGCACAAACAAAATTGGGAATGTGTGTGTTTAAACTGTCAAAATTATCTGTGTGTGCTAGAACTGTTAAAAGCATGTCTACCAGCAACGACTGACCTTGTGGGTGGGGGAATGGAACAATTCTTATTCATTATACTCACACATAAGCATAATTATGTCCTTTCATTTTCATTTTGTGCGCTTCATTAGCGCCACTCAGCCGCAGGTAGATTCGTCAAAATGAATATTTATACCGAGTTGTGGCAACGCCAACGATGACGACAACGAACCGGACAACAGCTACGACGGCGACGGCGACGGACCCGGACCTGGACCTGGAGAGGATGATGATGATGATGGTCTCTCACCCCCCACTTGACACGCAGCCACAGACACAGACACAGATACTAAGAGCACACACAATGACAGCCTCCTTCGTCTCGCAGTTTTGTTTGTATGGGATTCTATGGTTGATTTTATTTATCTTTTTTATTTCGGGGGGTTTTCTTGTTTGCGTCCTAATTATGCGGGGTTTTTCGCTCACTTTTGTTATTCAATTATACCACAAAAAATAAGAACTCTCAGCTTTAAACAGCAGTTGAGTATTGGAATGTGCTTTTTCCTCAAAATCTTTGAATCGTTGAAGCTTTCGGCTATGGATCGAATGGCTGTGACTTTCAGTCTATCCAGTCTTGATATTCCCGAATATTTCAGTAACAATTGGTCTGGTCTGGGTCTGTCTTTTTCTTTAAACTGGCGGCACGCGAGTCGCGGCGCCTCGCGTCTTGAACCTATACCCAAGCGTAACTATTGACAAACTGCTTCAATGTGGCCGTTTCGAGCAGAAGGAACAACCGAAAGCAGCTGATTTTCGTGTAGACTTTACCGACTGACGCAGGCGCCTTTGCCGGCTCCCTCTGCTCTCTTATACGGCATGTGGAAAGTCTACACTCGTGCTGGCTAAGAGAGCCGCCGTTTTCCGGCTCTCTTTGCTGCCTGTTGAGTGTCGAGTTTGCAACGAGATTAGTTTTTCAAAATTAACGGAAAAGAGGAAATCTGCTGCTCGTTCCGCATCAGTGAGCTTCTGATGCTCGACTAATGGATGCAAAACAACGAAGGGAAATCCGAACAATGCAAGATCTGCTCCATTTTAATATCGCTAATGCAGGCGGTGGGGGCACGGACACGATGTCTTTCGGCTAATGCGCATTAGGCCCTCCTCTGCGTCTGCTTATTGGCATTTTCGATGGGTCCGCCTTCAATTTGATGGCCATTTCTATGCAGCTGCCGTAATGTGAAACATTCCGTAGTCCGGCCAACAACTTCTCGAGTTGGTCAAACTGCTTAGGCGTTTGCCGTTTGCCGTTTGCCTTTTGACTTCCGTTGCCTTTTGTTATGTCGCTGGATCAGGCATAGGACTCCGAACTAGGCAGCAGGAGCAGGACCAAGACCTGGACCAGGCCCAGGACCAGGACCAGTCCGGGGCATCGTAAATTAGCAGCGGTTTATTGCCAGTACGTGACATTTTGGCCCCGTTCCGGCGTCGGCATCAGCAATAATTACGGCGTTCATTTATTTGCCTTGGCTCGACTCTGCCCTGCCCAGTTCTGGTCAGCCCTGGGCGCTACGGCTTTGTCGACTGCCTTTTAAGTTGCTGCCTTTGTGGCTTGTGGTATGTGGCTTATGTGGATGGGGGCATGAATCACCCGCCTTCCATCAGCTACTCCGCCTTTTCTTCTATATTTGTACAACAATAAAATATTGATTGTTGCAATTGCTAGGCCTTGTCCGGAGCAGAGCAGCAGCATGACCAGTACATAATCATTTCTCAGCCTCACATTACGCATACGACTCTGATTGGGGAATTAACACAGCCAACAAGGGGGAGCAAAAGCTGCAATTTATATCTATAACTGGAACTATCTTGATGGAGCTTTAAGCGGTGGCTCAACCGAGCGTGGAAGGACCCTCAAGTTGCACACATTTAATATATTTTAAGCATTCTACTAATGAGCCAGAAACTTTAACTGGAGACTCGTCCTGCGTCCTGCGTCATGCCAGCACATAAGATTGCCATGGTGCATCTCTCTATCTTTCCCTCTCTCTGCGTTAGTGTGTGTGTGTGTGGGTGTGTGTGTGTGTATGTGCGCTGGGGAGCGTTAAGCATTTGCCAGTGCGTGACATGCAACCCCTCGAAGCAGGAAAGGCAAGGCCAGGCTGCAGCTGCAGCGGAGAAGGTTGTTGACTCCGCAGTTGACTCCGAACTGTCATTGTTTCAAATGGCACAAAGTTAAGCGAAAATCTCAAATAATTTTCCATTATAAATGTGGCAAAGATAAGCTGCAACGAGCAATGGCAATGGTAACGGCAACGGCAACGGCAGCGGCAATGGCAATGGCTATGCTGTTAGCATTGGGGGAGTGAGCGACAGCATCATCACTTCATAGAGGTCTCCACTTTTATGAGGCAGTGCAATAAACTTGCCTTGTCACCATGCATAACATAATAATTATAATAAAAACAATTTTTACGCATTTTATGGGCGCATAAAATTGTAGCATATTCACAGACATCCATCGTGCGGATGAACGGAGTCCTGACCAACAAAAAAAAGAGAGAATAGAAGAAGAAAAGAATTTACTGATGAATTGCGGTTTAGTTTTATGAGATGCTCCGACAAGATATACAATATATGAACATACATATATGTACATATGTATATACACAGACTGATGTGGGTGTCTGCATGTCAGTCCTTGAGCCGCCAATATGAGACAGTTTTATGAGCAGCCAAGAACAAAGCCTTGGATCCACCATCCTGACGCTGCGGCTGTTGCCATGCTGTATCAACATTTTATGAGCCTTTAATGTTTTGTTTGTTAATAAAATCGGCGAACGACAAAGACGTTGGCTTCGTTATGCCACTGCTCCTCCCGCCGGAAAAGTCCTTGGGATTTTATATATTTTTAATGTGCGCACTTTGACACTTTTAATGAATCCCAAACATTAATTTTCTTAATGAGCGCGCTCATTTAAAGCCTAGACCAACTTGGTCCTAGTTGTGGTGGTACAAGTCCTGATCCTGCTTCTGGTTCTGGTCCCTGAAAAACGTTGACAAATGCCTGTCGGGTCGTTATTATACATGGGGCAACAACAATGGTTAGGCACTGAAAATTCTGGCTGCAATGACAGTGCGAATGACAATGGCCCCAGCAATTTCCTCTCTTCATCAATTCCAACTTAATGAAGTTTGAATGAAAATCCATTGGCACACGCTCGCGCAGACACAGCCAGCCACACACACAAACACACACATGACTGACACTGTCCGGCTTAATGAGCCGCACTAAATTCACACGAAACTTTTTGACCAAAAGGGATCCGATCCCTCTTTCCCGAGAGACATGGCTGGGTGTGTGGCGAGCGTGTGGCAACTATTTATCGCTGATGCTGGACAAATGTTCTACACTCGGTCGACTGGCAGGAATTTATTGACACACTCAATCGAACGCTTTGATCGTAATCCCTTTTCCAACAAACCCCACCCCGAACCCCACCGACTCTTCACTCTCCACACTCCACACTCCCCCAAAGTTAAGTCAAGTTTTTCCTCTTCCATTCATCTGTTTGTTTGTTATTTAGTTTGGGGTTTTGTTGCCGACTTTGACCAAAGTTGCGGCCAGACTCGTTTTCGGGTCAAGTGAGAATGCTCTTTACTTTCATTTGGATTGTTTATGCCAGTTCGGCAATGGAACCAGCCTACGCACTACGAAGCCTCGCCCTGCTGATACTACCTCGTACTATCTATCCTCCGAAGAATATTTCAATAAAACTATTGCACTCGTCGTCATCCATGGAGAGTGTGCTCTCGTTAGGGGCGGTAGGGGCACACAGATGGTCCACCTTGTGCTCGGAGATGGCGTCAGAATAGAGATTCGACTCTTCTGGGGCACTTGGGTCGTAGGCCTGTTCCTCCTCGTGGCCACAGTTATTATTGAAAACTGTCTCCATCTCTTCACTGAATTTCTCCTTTTCCAGCTGTTTTTCTCTTTCCAGCTCGCGCTTCCTCTGCCTCTCCAGTCTATCTTTCTTCTCCTCAGCAGCTTTTTTTGCTGCAGCCGCCTCCGGATCGTACTTGTAATCGTTACGCATTTGCTCCTTGGGAAACTGTCGAGCCTGCTCCAAATGCAGACCCCACATCACATAGATCATGACCAGCAGCGAGAGGAATATGTAAACTGAAATTAGGGGAGAACAACAACAACAAAAGTAGCACTGCATCGATCTACGGTCCAACCTACCATCCACTCCCACATTGAGGGCAAAGAACAATTGGTTGTCTGTCAGCCAAAAGAAATCTGCATGGGCGTACGTGAAATAAAGGCGGAACAGGAGCAGGGCGGCCGTCTCGCAGAGCCAGTAGAAGACCGATATACTCTCCCGCTTCACGATACGCATCATGGTGATAATATTGAACATGATATTGAAGCCGTACAGCACCATCCACTTGACGGGGTAGTCTGGAAATCGATTCTGCATAAGTTTATCAGCTGAATTTGCGTATATGCTCACCGTGTAAGGTCCTGACTAGCTCCACTCCCCAGAAATTAAACAGAAAGAAGGAATACATCACATTGATACAGCCAATGGTCAGACCCCAGTCGGCCCGATTCAGCACGCACTGGCACAGCAGAAACTGTAAGTAAATTTCATCCATCTTGGGCAACGGTCGCCTCGACAGCTCGGAAATGACTGAACGGAGAGACGGCACGGGCACTTGACCACCAGTTCCATGGAACTCTGTTATCGGTTGCTGAGATCCCCCCTTGGGGTCATGAATCACATATCCAGATTGGAGTACTCGTAGTTTGTTTTCGCTCTAAAATTCAGTAGATCAAAAATTAAAACGGAAATACATATGAGAAAGAAAGAAAGAGTTCAGCCTTCCTCTCTCTTTTGCTTGCATTAGCCATAAACTGATGAGAACTGGTATTAGTGTCCACATATCCATGTGCATAAGCATGTGCCTGTTCTTCCATCGCCCCCCTTTGGGGCACTTAAAGCCCAACGTGACAGCATAAAATGCAGCAGCTTCTCTTTTTTATATTTGCCAGAGCAACAATAGCAACAAAAGCCAACAGCAACAGAATTTTGTTGTAAAATATTATAGAGAGCGATATGAAAATGCAAACCACAGTAACCACCAAGAGTCCTTTACATACATATATATACATGCATACACCACCATATCTAGTATATGTTGATGGTGTTGGTGCTACTGTGTGCGTGTGTATGTGGGTGTGGGTGTGGGTATAGTGAAAAGTTTAGTCGAGTTCAGTTTAGTTAACTGTAGGAGGAGCAGTAGCAACGGGAGCAACATCAGCAAAGGACGTAGTTGATTGCTCTGGTGGCTGGCTGCAGTTTTTGGCCCAAACCAATGAACCACATAATGCGGCGTACCCACACCCACACACAAACACAGCGGCACTCTGTGCCACACACACATACACACGCGCAGGCACACATACGCAGAGCTGTGAAACGTTTAAGTAAGCGTGTAAATTATTTGAATTATTTATGAGTTGCAACAACAGTGTTAGCGTCAGCATCGGCGACCGCAGTCAAAACATGAAAAGAGCTTAAGGCCAGGGCTCGCCGTCTCTTTATACCCACTCTCGATATATAAATATATGTACATATATAGGTATATATGTATGTATACAAATCAGAGCAATCCCAGAATGGGCACCAATTCCCTGGACGATGCTTAAACAGCCGATGACGACGTCCGAGAGGCCCACGCCCTTGATAAATGCCACACAACTGAAGTTTTGTCGGGCAAAAGTTGCTCCGCCAGCTAACTGTAAATGTTAATTCCCAACTGAGAAATTTATTAATGGGCCCCATCCCCGGAGAGGTCAGAAACAAAAGAAAAGCAATCACCACAATGAAATGTAAGGCAAAGACAGGGAAAACACAAAGACACAATACAATAAGTATAACGAAAAAAATGTGAGTTTAAAGTGAAAAATAGATGATGCTGCACGGTGATGTAGAAACGTACGTCGAGGGGCACTGTATCTAGGTCCATCTGCTAGGGACTGATGCCCGATTCCCCTGGGGGAATGCAGCTTTAAAGGGGGGCTTTGGGGGAAAACTTCTTTGGGGTTTCTGTTTCTATTTTTGCTTACACTCATATCACGCATGGGACCCCAGCGACTTATGGCCGCAATAAGTAGAAGTACATTCCACTCAGCGAAGGGCGGCTAACAGGAGGGATGGGGGGGTGGAAGCATCGCAATATGGCTGCCAATTGCACGCACTTTTGTCGTTCAATTTAATTCGGAAAATTCTGGCTTTCCCTAGCGTGGGGTTCATTTTTGTGTGGCGGTCGGAGCTCCTAAGTAGCTCAGCGGCTTGTCTCAATGGGGGGTCGGTGCCCGGTAATGCAAGCCCCTAAAACCCAACTCTTCAGACTTCTCCTCGGCCACGTGTGCTTGTGCGTGCGGCTCTGTAATAATTTGGTCTATTTGTTGCCTGCCATTCGGTTTATTGAATTTGGCATTTGCATGTTTGACGACTCGTCGCGTATGTGAACAGGGGATGCTGCTGCCTCATCCCTGACTCTGCCTCCCTGCTCTCTGCCTTCGTCCTGTGAAGCCAGCCTGGGACCCTTGTCGCTCTTCTTTCCGTCTTCTGGTGGAAGCCATTCAATTATCTGGTGGTAAATATTGCAAATTAAGTTGTTTATTGTGCATGATGTTATGCCAATTGAATTTGCAGCTTACGGGGAGAGACCCAGCCCTTGCACCCCTTGCCCCTGAGGGCGTGTAAACTTCAGGAGCAGCAACAAAGAACAAACCCAATTTCATTTCGCAGCCAATTAAAAAATGTTACACCCGGCGAATGATGAATAATTTGTTCACGGGGAATAGCCGCTGCCGCTGACCTTGAATATTGTCGACTTTCTTCATTTCAATTTGATTTATGCGAGGGACGAGAGTGAGAGAGAGAGAGAGAGTGTGAGTGGGGATAAACAAAGGAAAACCGCTACAAATGAAATGAGGGCTCAGCAAAGTGCAAAAGCGAATTAATTATGCACATTAACTTTTGCCGCTTAATGCGCTCCCAGTTCTCTGACTGAGGTGAGACTGATTCTCATTCGGAGAATGTGGAACAGGAGAGGAGAGGCTGATCCCGAGAGTGACCCAAGTCCAAGTCCCCCAAGTCCCCCATGTCCCCCATGTCCCCCGTCCATGTCGCGTCGAGTGCGCGAATGACTTTGAAAAATGGGCGCGGCTCGGCAGGAGCAGGAGAACGCTGCTTAATTAGTGCGTAATTTGTAAGTTGAGGAAAACGAAAAAAAGAAAAGGCGTTGAAAGGAAAACTCACCGGAGTGGAAAGCCAGGCTGGGGGCAGGCGTCAGGAGTCAGAAGGGAAAAGGGCAAACAATGACAGAGGTAAATATTAATTACTCTGCGGGATAATTCTCGGGCTCGGATAAATGTGTCTCTAGTCCACTCCACTCGACTCAAGCATCCATCAATGTGCCAATCAATCAACTGCACAGGTCTCTAGCTTTAAAATCTTCCGATTAGGCTGATCTTTCCGTCATCCCCTTCGATCCCTTTCGGACAAGGGACCCAGACCCAGACCCAGACCCTTGTTGATTTAGTATAAACATTGTTTGCCTTCCATTTGCACCCTTTGATGCTGCTGCACATTGTACATTTTTATCCGGATCTGTGGCGAATGTTTTGTCTCATATTCTGTTTGTTTAGGCTGCGGTCCTGTGAGCACTTTGCTCGGGGCTCTGATGTGGCCAGGTGTCAATTAGCCAGTCCAATTTGTGACTAATTCGCACAAGTTTTTCTATCTCTCCCTCTTGTCACTTTCTTGTTCTCTTTGTATCTGCCTGTTATTTTATACGAGTATAAAATAGTCGGACCTTGTAGTGCGAGTACTTTTCTCTTTTCCACTTTCATTTAGTCTGTGCCTTTCATATGTGAAATTACTGTGAATTACTCAGTACACACGCACAAAAAGGCTCACATACACACAGAAAGAGACATCCAAAGAGGGTCAGAAAGAGGGAGACTGAGCGAGAGAAAGAAAGACAGAGGGAAGTGAAGATAGACCGGAGCTGCTTCTGGCTCCGTGCTTTAATTTCCGTTTCCGTTGAACTTGCACATTTCTGGCTTGCATGCGCCAAAATTTCATATTACCCACCCTTACCCGGTCCTCCGCCTTCTCCGCTCCGAGGTTTTGTTCCACTCAGAAAAAAAAAATGTTGAATTATGCGCAGAGGCGCTGCCTGCACTGCCCTGCTCCTTCATTCCCGTTTTCCACGTGCCTGCTCGCCTGGGCCCCCACTTTAAGGTCGTTCTGTTAAATGCAATGAAATTATTCTTCCACTGCGGTGGTCCACCCATTGAAATGTTAATTAATGCCCAGAAAAGAACAGCAGCAGCGGCATCAACAAAAGCAGCGCCAAGACCAAGCCTGGGAGCGGGCCATTATGACCATGCTGATGGTCACCGTTAGCCAGGTGAATTCTGAATGACCCCAAAGGATGCCGGCCCTGATCCGATGCACTTTATTCCACTTAAAGCTGATTAAGCGGTACTCAGTTCCAGCATCTTTTATCCTCTGCAGGGTAGCAGGCTAGCAAAAGGAGTAAAAGCAGCAGGGTCTGCCTTTGGTCCTTCCATCCAGTTCCATCTTCAGAAGAACTGCAGGGTACTGAGACAAAACTGAGTGCCCCATATTTCGCACTCTTTTGAAAGCATTTTCTTTTCATTTTGCCTCTTTTTTTTGGGGCATGGCCGGACTTAAACAAGCGGCTCGTTAACGGCAACCGCGCAATTACACTCGAAACGCTTTAAATTTTAAGTGCCGCCCGAGTATGTGCCACGCTGGTCTGCCTCTGGGATGGGGTTGGGCTCGGGCTTGGTGCTGGTGATGGTGCTGGTGATGGTGCTGGTGCTGGTGCCGGACGGAGGCAGTAACTATTGACTGACGGTAGCTACCTGTTGGCGACGTTCTGCCGCGGCCACTCACTCTCACCCGACGCGCTCGTCCATTGTGGGGCTAATTGCGCTGTTCGCTGTGCGCGGTGCTCGGTGCTTGGCGCTTCGAGCTCACTCGAGTTTCCCTTTCTTCTCTCACTCTGTCTCACTCTCTCTGAATTTGTACTGTGTACTGTGTGTGTATGTGTGTGTGTGTGTGTGTGCGAGAAGCGGAAGCTGTGCCCTCCTCGAAGCTGGAAATAAATCAAAAATTGTACTGCCATAGTACTTTCTTTGCCGAAATGTAGCTACCCTTGAAGCGGTGGCTCTGCGAATTAGCAGGGGGATAGCGGAAAGTACTCCAACAATTATTCCAATTTAAGGTTTATATATTAAATAGTTGCTTAGCCAAGGATTCAGCTCGGATCCATTGCTTTCCTCTCGCCGTTTGCTCATTTCATTTCGTGCGAATTCCTTATGGCCTTGGGCCCTTGATGGGGCCTGCGGGCCGGGGATGCTTCGGATCAAGAGGCCAGAACTTCCTGCTGGATATCATATTTTGCTATTCAATCATTTTCTTTCTCTTTTCTTTTCCACTGGGCCTTAACTCTCGCATATTTTTCTTCGACTGAATGGTATAATTTTAATTTTTCGAACTTGAACGTTTATTTGTCTTTATTTTATTTTCGTTATCTTTTTTGGCTCGTAT